CAAGTTAGTTTTTGGAAATCTACTCTTTAAAGATGTCTAATGTACATGAAAATCATATAATACATGCAAATATAATTTGCTAATTTTACAAACAAGCAAGAAAAATACTGAAATACAAACAAAATAATAACAAATGATTTATTACCTTAATTACAGCTATCAAGGAGAGAAGATTATAAAAAAGGTGCAATGTTTACATGTAAACTTCATAGTGAGATTCAAAGTAGCATAGGTGGAAAACAAAAGTTTCATGGAAATAGAGAAACTTGTTACTTTAAAAGAACCCAAATGTAGTAATAGATACTCTGCCTAAAATGTGAAAGAATTCTGACTTAATAATAAAAAAATGAGTAAGTTGAAAAACTGGTTAATGTAAAAAAAAAAAAAATCATTAGGGCACTCAAAATTGACTGAATACAACAGCAAGCTTTTGACATATTACAACTGAGTTTGTCTAAACAGCAACACAATTGTCCCCTTTTTTATTCAAATATCTCTTTATTACACCAAAAACTCCCATTTCCTCTCCTTACCAGGGAACACAAAAGCTCAAAGCAACCATTTCAGCCAAATAGCAACTAGCATCTTCACGTGATACACATCTTCAAATTTGATGATACTCAAGGAAAAGTTATGGCTGAGGCTGAAAACGCTCTGGCGCAGTGGACCAGCCTGACACTTTCTAATCATAGCACGCTTGGGCTGAGCACAAATCGTAGCTGTAGCCCCGCTGGTGGTACGTATGTAACTCTCACAAAATTGGACCACATATAATCTTAGGCTGCATTTGACCTTATGGCAGAGCAACAGCCAATATACAATTGAGAGCACTTGAGCCCTTTTAAGCTTTCACTCTTACAGACCCCTGAGGGATGTGTAAAATTAACACCACACTCAGCAAACCCCGGGCTGGCCAGGGACAACAGTTAAGAAATCAGTTTTATCAGCCACCTTGAAAAAAAGAATATGAACCCTCAGAGCCACTTTTTATTGTGATACCAGTTTTCCATCCTCCTGCTATTTTTAATGACGAGTAGGTGGATTTATGTAGGATAAAAGAGTAAACTGAGTCCTGACTTGCTGTCCCTGAAGTATAACCTAAGCCTACAGAGCAGCACTGGGTCAGACAGAACTTGGACCAGAGTGCATCTAAGAACTGAACTGAATTTGTATAAACAAACAAGCTTTATTTACAGTATTCCTTCATAAAATCCCAGGCTTAGAGTCTGCATGTTCTTTAAAGACTCCATTTATGTACACTTGAATGCCTATTTAAGCAAAAAACAAGAGAGCTTTCCCATGGAAACCGCACAGAGATGTTTTACTTCACACGTACACCACAAACAAGGCTGCTAACTTTCCATAATTTACTGTATTTTCTTAGGCTTGCTATTGTATTTTAGGATCAAATCTTCTGGAGAAGCTGCTTATGCAGGAGGCCACAGACATATAAATAAATGACCTAAGAGAGGCAAAAAGCCCGAGATGTGAACTGAGAGGAAACGGCATCTCAGCAGCTTGTAAGAAAATTTTAATTTTTTGGTTTCTAGCTGGAGGAACAGGTTAAAATTGTGTTTAGTTGAGAAACAAGCAATCTGGAGGCATTTGGAATCACATTATTTAATCAGGACTTGATTTGTCCCTTAGAATTAAATCAAGCCAGAGGGCAATCCCTGGGCTAAGACAATAGCAAGCTTCAGTTCCCAGATGCTATCTCTCAGTGAGGAATCTAAGTCAGCGGGCCTCAAAGGAGCCAGGTGATTTTAAAAACTGCTTAAGAGGACACAGAGAAAGAGAAGCTCGATTTTGTGGACTTTATCAGACAGGCATAAATTGGTCCAATTACTTCAGCAAGAACACCATCAGTTTTTCTCTGTGAATGAAAAAGATTGTGCTAAACTGATACTCTGATTTGAGAATTTGCCTTTTAGATTTAGGTGATATGTGTCTAAGTGTGAATGCATACAATCTATTTCTATATGTATGTATTTTAGGGGAGTAATTTTGCTCCTACTTATAAATACTACCGATTGTCTCAAGGCTACAGTAAAGGATTAAGTCCTAACTTCAAAAGAGATGCCTACCTCTGCTAGGGGCCACAAAGATAAGCAACAATACCAAGACTTTCAAGTTTAGCCCCTGAGTTGAAGGAATTGGATGGGCTCACCTGTTTGGAGAAAAAAAATCCAAACCCAAACAACCCTGAGAGAAAGCTCGGCATGGAATCAAAGTCCCTTTGGCATGAACTTATGACAGCTCTGCCCATGAATAAGCAGGCTGTGTTGAGTTGCTGAAAACAGAGGCAGGGCTTGCCAAAATTGAGGATGAGGAAATCTCTGAGTGATAGTATTTCAAACTTGGTGGTGCTTCTACATCCTCTAAAGCAATGGGGTATATATGCTTCACTCCATACATGACTGGACAGCTAATGAACCCACTTGGTGCAACAGCAAGCAAAAGCTGTCCTTGATGGTGTCTTAAGCTACAGTGAGGAAGATGGTGTAAACTGATCCCTCAAGTGTCTGAGAATAAGGGCGGAGAATTTGGTCAGATACCAGAACATCAAGTGGGAGATCCTGTGGCCCTAGAACAGTCGGGCCAGAAGGATAAACAGAGCTGTTTTGTCTCAAAGGATGCCAAGCACTTGGGAGACCATTTGGCTAAGAGGGAAAAAGACTACATATAAGCAAAACCTAACAGACAGTATTTAGAAACACAAACAAGTTGTCTCTGATTTATCCAGGGCTATATTTACTTCAGCTGAGCAGAATTACATTGCTTCTGGAGGCTAAATCATGCATCCTTCTTTTCTGGTTTTATTTGGGATGTTCCGACGTGGTGCTTGAACTAATATATTTAATTAGAATGTTTTCCTATATATCTACATATATTCCCGTATACTTGGTCCATAACGTGGCTACGGTAAAAATAAAGTAGAACGAGAAAATTATTTGGTTGTGTTGAAACACAGTAACCTATTCTAGGAAGCCCTAGCAAGTATTTTAAACATTGTTTATATAAGGTGCTCAATTGTGTTAAAATCTTCCTTAAAATACGCTAACACATATCTTAACATCATACTTTTCTTGATACAGAATTATTTATGGTACCTACTCAGGAATCACTACTTGTTCCTGCAAGCAAAGCGCTTTTAACTAGAGCAGCTTCTCTGTCTCTTTGCAGCTCAGTGATAGCTATTTCAGACATTGCAGCATACTTTCTTCCCCCGCTTCTCATCATCTTTCTCATATTACGTAGCCAGTGTAAAACTTAAATGCAAGGGCTCAAACATAAGAATGAATAACCTCACAAAACGTACATGTGATAGTAAGTGTACACATTTAGTGCTTTTTTAAAAGAAGTGTTATAATACTTCTAAATTTCAAGTGCAGGGCAGAGAAGTCCATTTGTGTACACCCACTCATAAATGAATGCACTTAGCAGACAGCACACAGGTACTTGTCAGCTTCCAGCTTCAAAAGAAATGCATTTTGTAGTATGGTCATTAAAAAAGCCACAGTAATGTTTGCAGTTATTGTTGGGGTTTTTTGGTGGTTTTTTTTTTCTTCTCCTTTGCTTTTTTAAACAAAATACTCATAATATTCTGCTAGAGAAAAGAAACAAGTCCACACATACACAAGAAAAGAAATCAAGAAATCAAGAAATGGCTCTTCTAGACAGTACGGTAGTAAAACCAAACACTAGCAAAAAAATTTCTATTACAATGCGTCAAAATCTAAAATCAAATGTTACTTGATGCTCTCCATAAAATTTAAATAAGTATAAAATCTGCAAATCCTTCAGTCAATTGTTGTTTGCTTCCATCATTTCCAAATTACAATCAGTCTCTGACCATGCCATTCATTTGATTTACTCAGCTTGAACTATTTTCATTCGACTCTTATTTACACATCTTTGCTAATTTAATCTTCTGATTGTCATTCAAAAAGTTCATCCCAATATGCCTTCTTATTTATGCAGTTTGATGCCTTTACGTGCTGGACAACTGATAATCAGTCTGCTTAAATCTCTTGTTCTCACATTTTTACACTTTGCAAAACTGAAATACTGCAGCAGCGCTGTAGCCCATATTGCTCCATTCAGATAAAATCTGGCTGGCTTCATTAGAAGACAGGGACAATATCTGCGCATGCCTGCTTGCCCTTGCAACAGAACCACTCTGGGGAGGCTGTCCTGTCATCTTTAACTAAAGGGGATACTCGGACTGAAGTGGTCTTCCCAGCCTGAAACAAGGGCTTGCAGAAAAACTGCAGAGGAAAGTCAGGGATTCTCTGTTTCTAGCCAACAGAAAAAGCAGTAAAGAAAGAGATATTCAGACTTTAGAATAGAATCATAGAATCATTATGGTTGGAAGAGACCTCAAAGATCATCAAGTCCAACCGTATACCCGATGCCACCATGCCCGCTAAACCCACTAAACCGTGTCTTGAAGTGCCACATCTAAACTTCAGACAACTTGCTCAAGTTCTGATAGGACTGCCTCCTATGCCAGATTGCTGGTCTGCTCTACCTCCTCCTGTTCTTCCGTGTCTTTTTATTACAGCCTGATTCCATATCTTTCAGGTTTTTCTTTCTTGCTCTCTCCATCTGACATGCTTCGCTTCAGGGTCCCCTCAACACCCACACAAAACCATGGAGTTACCTTGACTGACTGCTACCATGCAGATGACTCCTGCTGGAGGCTATCTTGTCTGCTCAGATCGGAAGCTCTTTGGAGCAGAGACTGTCACCACTCTGTGTCCACATAATGCCTAGCAAAGAGAGTCTTCTTTTGATCAGTCCTCTGGCACTAATGTAATAAGCATGATTGATAAAGTATCTGCTTATACTCATATATGGGAAAGCTAGGACTCTATGAGAACAAAAACAGGTTCAGCTTTTGTAACGCTGGAAACGTACAGTCAAAACTATGACATCTCTACCGACAGATGACTGTGTAACAAATGGAATATTTAGTAGGAAATAGCAATCTGACTTACTTTGCTCTCTTGGCCATTTCATTGCCATCCCAGCGGGGGCTGTAAGGATAATTCTTCTGGGCCTGGGAGTACAGCTGGCCACTGTTAGTGAAGTGGTAGACGGACTGAAACGTTAGGGTTGGTTGGTCTCGAGGAAAGTACAGGGGTAGGTCAACTGAAATAAAAAAAAAAAGAAAAAAAAATCATAAAAGCACACCATTGCGTTTTTTTCCTTTCTATTGATTTAAAGGTGACAGAAAAGGAGATATTGATCTTTACTTCTAAACTATACTTCTGTATTTCTTACAAGTTATGATTCCAACATATTGCTGTATGGGATGCTTCGCTTTATCAAAACATTTTTGTAAAGTACATAATTAAAAAAAAAAGTTCAGCTAGTGTATTTCTATGCTAACTGTAATGTTTACACCATGATTATTTTGTTATAAAAAACCCCCACTGTTATTTTCCTTTATAGTGAAATTTTCCCTTTCAAAAATTCACAAAATACATTCTGTTTATGCTTTCCATCCAAGAAACAAATTTCTTTTTATCTGCTTTACCCAATTCATTTTAGTGCCCCCATGGACATCAAAAGCATTATCATTCTCATTTTACAGCTGTCTGAGACCAAAAGTGGTTAAATGATTTGATAAAGGATGTAGCAAGATTCAGTCACATGAATTGGAAAAGATCTCAACTTGCTGTCATCTGCTAGACAAAAAAATCCGCCACAAAACCAAAAAACACACTGCAAAGTCATTAATACCCAAAATATCTCACTAAAAATAAAAATCAGAACCTCTTAGTTCCCTTTGCTTATCACTGTCTCATGATCAGCTAGGTCTGGAGAACAATAAAATAGTCTACAGCAGTTAATAATACGGTCAGAAACTGTTTTTTAACTTAGCTTTTTCATTGCTAGATTTATAGTTTAGATTTTCCTGTCTACTTTAAATTTCAGGAGGTTTCAGAATTCTGTAGTTAAACTGGGTTATGACAACAGATTTGAATTATTTACATTAAATGTCCCATGTAACACCAACATCAACAGAAGAATTTTCTTTTGTTTTAAAGGTGTAGACTTCATTTATAAAGCACCTACGACTGCACCTATGACTGTGATTTGTCCTCCAAACCACAATTCTTTAATTCTGCACAATGACAGAACACCGCAATGGAACAGTAACTCCCTGTAAATCTTAAATAATTTTTCCTATTGGTGTAGCAATGAGTGAAATAAATTAATAAGATTATAATTCATTCATATAAGCCTGGGTTCTCAGTATTCTCTCTTTGTCAAGTCACAGTCCTTTTTCAAAAGAAGGAAAGGCTCCTAAGTTAATAAGCAGGTTGTACTAGCTGAAGTAGGAATCAAAACAGGTGGCAAAATCAGTACAAACAGAATTTGAAGAAAGCAGAAGGAATATTACAGGACTAAACCCATCCTCAGGCAGAACAGGATCTCCCCTCCAGTACGCTTGGTAATGCACTGTATTTTCTACTTTTAAATACTTCATGGGGCAGAGATTCCAGTACTTCCTTTGAAATCTCTGCTCATAGACTGAGATATCAGCGTAAGACAGGTTTTGTTTTTCCAAATTTCATGCTATCATCCTGTTAGTTCCTTCATTTTTCAGTTTTTCTGATCATGTCTGAATACTCAGCCGTGCATCAGCCACACTACAGCTCCCCTTTCCCTGAATTACGCTCCAAGCTCTGTGAGTAAAACCATTTGTAGCCACGAAGTACACAAAACCGAATGTGATATTCCAGCCGTAGTCTCAAAATACAAATTGCTGTGGACGACAGCATTTGCTCAGTTCATGACCCAGTGTCTGAGCTACACGTGACAACTCCCGGAGTCCTGGTGACTCAGCTCACACAGCAGCTTCCAGCAGATATTTAAGCGGTAATGACATGGGCAGAGTTCTGCTAATTTGAGGGCAGATCATTGCAGTAACAAAGGTTAGATTCAAAGACTGCTCTGTCAAATTCTTCTTTATAACATGATTATTAAATAACAACCCTGAAAAACATTGGTGTATTGAGGCCACTTATCAGCAAGCAAGCTGTCTCCTCCCCTCGCAGATGGTACCTGTGTGCCGCAGCCTTTGAAGGATTTCACCACGGGAAAGAGAATGATTTTGACAGGCTCTCTGTTTTAGCATTATAAATACACTTCTTCAGCTCTGAGTGCTTAAACTCTGTTCCTCTAGTGCATCTTTTTCCTTCTTAAGTACCAATTCCTTAAAGGAAAACTACTCTGTATACTTGTGTATTTTATCACCACGTGAAAGGAATAACAACCTTTAGCAAAACACTCGACTAATAGTTCAGTCCTTATACCTGACTTTTGACTTGAGAATTTCTAACTTGCATTAACTTTCCTTTGAAAACCTCTGTCTACATAATGGGGGCAAGCAGCAGCAGTTTTCTTCCTGTTACCTAAAACTAAATGTTTGCACTTCAGAGAAAGCATCTAGCACTAGAAAAGTTGTTTAAATGGATAATTAAGACATTGCTTTTTTTTGTTACAAGATGCTTCCATTTGTTACAAGAAGCCTTTCTTTTATAAAAATATTCTTCCAACAAAGGTACGATCAAAATACAACAGAAAACATTTTTTTTCTTCTTCTATTAACCAAAACCTGTATAGGAATTTTCAGGAATTACTTACATTATAAGCTGTTAAATCAGATAAATAAGTTAGTTTTAAAATTGTGCATCCCACATCCGGCCAATAGCAGTAACATCCTGAACTGCAAGTAGAGTTTTGAAAAGTTTGACCCGCCTTTGATTTCTAACACTACCCTTCACCTAAAATGACCAAACTCCCAGTTTTCCAATCCAAGAGTTTCCTTAATACAAGGTGTGAGATGAGTCCAGACCAAGTAAAAAAACCTGTCCCTAATTCTGGAACACAACCACACCTAAAAGACCAGTAAACAGGAAATAGCCTTGAGCTGTAAAGTGTTATACATATCTCAAGGTAGCCAGCTATTATTTCAGCAGTAGGAAGGGAAGGCAAGAACTCACTTCCATCACAGTGGACGTCCGTCCATTGACACTGCAAGTGCACAGAATGCTTGGATTTGGCGTGAAGCGTTTTATCATACATGAAAAATAAGCAAATACCATGGGTAATCAACACTAGCAAGGTGCTTTGAAGATAAAAGGCCAAATTCTGCTCACAGTCCCACAGGTTGATACAGAAAATTTTTCTTTTTTACCTGGTTATATAGGCTATCTGACTCTCAATCTGTACATTAATACACAATCAGATCTGCCTTCATGCAATAAGTAAGGTGGGAAAGGTAAGTGTTATCATAATTACATCCCAGACAACATTTACACTTTGTCATGAAAAATGCATCACAGTTAAAAACAACACACCGCTTTTGTAAATCAACACCTGAACTAGGCAAACTACAAAAGCCCGCTTTGGTTTGGCATGCTAGTTACCCAAGAACTACAAAAACGTATTCATGTTGAATACAAGTACTATTTCCAAATAACAGCTGACTCACAAAGTACCCTGGTTATATGTCTGCAGAAAACAAGCAGATGACTCATGTCTGTAAATTCCTGAAAGTACCAATAGACCCCTTGCTTAGTCATCTTTTGCTTGGATGCTGGGTTCACGAGCTCTGTAAACTATAATGAGGGATCTAGCTCTTAAGTAGGACTCTCTCTCCCTTTTTTCCTCTCTTCTAAACAGTGCAAATTATCTCCCTAAAAATAACTTCATCTACGTAAGTGAGTCACTTCAACTAGCAAGCTTATACAAGTCATGCAGTTAAGCAGTAATATTTGGTTATGAAGGTAAAAATCTTGCTGTCAAACTCAGATTTAAAATGAAAATTAAGTCAGAGGAAGTCCCATTTACCCCTTCTCTCACAGAAATAGAAACATTTCCTTTGGAAAATTTAAACAATTAGCTCATTCAGGAAAGTAAAGCTTTCTAATTCAGTTCCATGCTCAAAGTAATTCAATCCTGATGACTTCTTACTTTGGCTTTCCTAAGCATCACGCTGTTAATATAAGAGGAGCTGAAAGAAGCAGACTGGAGAAAGAAGCCAATATCATAGTAAACCACTGCTTTCTCCTATGTTAGAATTTACAGATCATTTTTTAAAAGTCAAGTTTTAGAAAGCCATAGTGTGGGGAAAATCACGTCTTTATGAAAGCTCTACATGAGTAGAACTTGGAAGGCTGTTTTGGGCAATTAAGCATTGAGTAAATTCTTCAGTGATTGAACCCTAATTTTCCCACACAGTTCATAAGAAAGCAAAAGAAAAAGGACTTGCTTGTTGAGAATGAGTCATGTTGTAAAGAAACTTAATTACAGTTTATAAATAGTTGAAGTTGCTCTCTTTTTGAAACAGAAGAAACTATCGAGAAGTAACACACAAATTTGCTTCTCCTCACTTAGTTAGCCTTTAATGCATACATATATTCAAAACAGTTACCTTAAAGCCAAAACCCTGATTAATTAATAACTAAAAAAATGAATCAGTACAGTTTAATTGTTCATTTTCTTAAAGAACAAGCATTTGACTTCTGGAACAGGTTACCTAGTTTGTTAAGTTTATGTCAACAACTACAGAGTTGATTTCAACAGTCTTATTAACTTTAAAATAGTATCTTTAGCATCTAATTTTATAGCTTTTTAAACAGGGAATGAAATGTGAAAGGGATGTCTTGGCAAAAGCATATACTAGTGCTGCTATAAGGTTTCTGAAGGAAAAATGCTCAGAAGATAAAGGCAGGTTTACCACAGTGCTTCCCTCCCCGCCTGGAGAGAAGGGAAAACAAAACCACGCTTGAAATGCATGCTGACCATACAAATATTTCAAAGTATTTAGATGGCAGTATTTAGAAAATTTTCCATATACTTGTTCCCTGCTCTAGGGAAAAGGTTTATTCATCCTTTGTATGGCACTGGATAAATCGAGGTATTTGTTTTCATAGAAGTCAACGTTTACTCACTGAATGTTACGCACCGTTCTAATCCTTGGATGATACTATACTGGTTATCTTATTAACCTTCAGGATGTTTGAATTTGCTGCAGTTTATTCCACCTGTAATTTATTTTGCACTCATAAACACTGGCTGATCTGGATATTTTACTGCTGAGATTTCTACCTCATGGCCTGCACAACCTCAATTCA